ATAAGTAAAAAATAAGAATGTTATAACAGCTTTTTCTTCTCTCCATGTTTTTAAAGTCACCTTTTCCCACTGAAAGGTATAGCAAAAGAACATTCCTAGTTGTTCCATCATGTCAGCTCTCTTAGTTTGTAGCCTCAAAAGAAATGAGCTTAAAGTCAGGTGTTTCAATGTGCAGTGTGCTAGTCTCTATAGCGACCTTCCTCCTCTGTCTACCAGGGGGAGTTTTCCTTACACTTATATATCTCAAGAAATGTCACTATTTTTTATTGTTCCTTTAGAATGTAATGTAGCCCTAGGTAGCCACCCTAGAAAAAGGATTTTCACAGTATGATTTCTGCCATTTACTGCATACTGTGTAGCATTTCCTAAAATTTTATCTTCTCTGCCTTTCACCTTTCTGCTTTAAGAAATGGCATGATTGATGTTAATATTTTTCCCTGATAAAAATGTATTTTCCTTTGATCTTAGTCTTAGTAATACATTATTCAGTGTTCCTTCTTAATAAAAGCCATTGGTTGTTCCATTACTCACAATAGTTATTACAACGCTAAAGGTCTCGTTCATCAGAATGACTTGCAGAGGCAGAACCAAACCCATGATTTCTCCATGCATCAGGATAATAGCTGTGGTGCATGCAAGTTATTAAACAGTGCTAAAATATAATGTGTGTTTGTTTTGGGGTGGGTTTTTCTTTCCCCCCTGGGGATTAACACTAGGGAAAACTTGTGAGCATCATTTATTTTATTGCATATGTATGCTTGTCCATGTTTTGTTCTTGAAGTCCAAATCAGTGAGGAGGTGAGCCTATTGGTTGTATCCCACTTCATAAAACATGTTCCTTGCAATGACTGATAAAGTACATGAGAAGTTCTTATCAGGCGTATCTTTGGATTTGTGTCACCATCTTGGATGGTGACGGAAGGAGAAATTATGATCTTTGATCATCTCTGCTAATATGAGGACAAGTGGGCACAGAGAGAGTCTAACAGAAAATTATGAAGCTCTAGATCAAGTCTTGGGATTTGGATTTGTTTGAAAGGTATCTTCTGTAATACTGCGGTATTTTAAGTTCATGCTTATCTGTTCTGGCAGAAAATGGACAAATCAACTTCAGTAGAATACAAAGCAGGTATTTTATGTCATGTTAATTGTCAGTTTTTCACAAGAAATAAAGGGGTTCAGGAGAGCAAAAAATAATACAAATAATAGCATTAATGTAGTAAATGGAAACAAGGCCTAGTATATGGAAGAGTTGAGCACAGAGGCAGACAATGAGCTTCTGCTGTCAGAATTGTTCGCTGAGCATGGTTAAGTGCTGTATGAGTCATCCAGTGAACACGGTGTACCTAGGGACAGCTGAAGAACATAGAGCTCGTTTAGTGCTCTCATGACGCTTGTAAGCCCTCAATTTTCCTGAAGTTTAATGTATTACACAGTTGCCTCTACAAACCTTTTCATTTATCCTGCATAACTTTGCACTAGTTACCTGAATTAGAGGGAACAAACAAGTTGGCCTAATTTGTATTCCAAAATGCTTGCTACAGAGATGAATTCGACAACTACTTCTACATCATTTAAAGATATTTATGCCCTCTACATGTATTAGGGATTGTATATTGCTTTTGATGTCTAGCTTGATTCTGCATTTGTTGATTAATTTGTCAGTGTTATGACTGCTTTCAGTGCTGTTGCAGGGCTGTTCACTTCCTTTTCAGTGTTTGTATCCTCAGTCAACAAAGATGTGGGGGTCTGGGAGTTTGAATTGTTTCTCTGGGAGGTTGTGGGGTTTTTTTTGGGGGGAGAGGCTGGTTTGGGTTATACTTTGTGTGACATCAGCACTGTGAGAGCAGAATGGCAAAGTGCTGTCCCAGAGGGGTTGGGAAATGCTGCTGCTGCATTGAGTGAAAGGAAGCAGAGCTGCAAGAGGAAGGAAGGCTATGGAATTGCAAATAGATGACCCTTAGCATCACATTTATGAAGGTGCTTGGGTACTATGCAAATGACCACAGTCTATTTTAATTTTAAGATAATCTAGCTTGATTGACCGTGCTGAGAAAATGACAGTGTGTTTAAACAGCAATAGTTTTGATGTTTTCTTCCCTGGTAGATTAAGCAGGGGAAGCCACGTGTAGTGGATTCAATTCCATCATAATCCGTGTATGACGTGATAAATGGGTCTTTGTCAACCCTACCAGCACTGGCTGCATGCATCACATTTAATGGGCTGTTGTAGCTTTCTGGGTGGTGAAAATGGAAAATAATCTACACAAGCTTTTCCCTTCAACCCCATGGAGAACATTAAATACCATCCCCATGGAGAGAATCTAGGCAATAACTGTCAAAGATACTTGAGCACCTTTTCTAGTTTTGTAATTCTCCGTGGCTTTTTCAGAACAGAAGCAGCTGTAGAACGTGATATTTTGGCTCACTGAAGGGAGAGGGGTTTTTAATTAGAGGCCATTTTCTGAAGCTGGAAGAACGAAAAATATATACTTAAATGTTGCACAAGGGTGGAAGTAGAGGATGCTGAGAGATAAAGCTGTGGAAGGGACAAAAGGCTACTAGAAAAATTGAGTGATTTTAGAATTAAATTAGTCTACTTGCTACGTTAGCCTTTAATACTATATTCCCACCTCCGACTGCAGGAACACAGCTTGAGGGATATTAATTAGGAAGACAAAGCAGGTGAAATAGGCAATGTAATGAATACATGCAATGTGAAGAGTAAATACACTTTTCATCTCAATAGTCAGAATAAAAACTGTATTAAACTGGGCAAGTGAATTTCTTTTATTTTCTAACATTACTGTCTAATTGTCCTCCTTATTACTGGGTATTAAAAGACCACTATCATTACAGAAACATCTTTCACCAATTATATTTAGGCTGTGTTTTAGCTAGCAATGACTTCCTCTTTATGTGAAAAATGGCAATCCCCAGAGGAACAGACTTACTGAGGTGATTCCAATCTGCTGGGAAGCCTTGTGCACACACTATTTGCATCTCATGACCTGCATGCAATGTGCCTGTACTGTATTGATTTGTGCTTGTTTACAGGCCATTCAAGCAAAAAGCAAGTAGAGTTCAGGTGGCTAAAAACTTGCTCTGCTGGTAGCAGTTTCCTGCCTCGCTGCACTCTGGAATATTCTGGCCTTGCTGCAGCGTATTGCTGGACAGCCATGGATTTGTCAGTTCTACCTATGTGTTTTTTAACATTTGCATTAGTTCTAAGCATAGATGACCATGGTTTACAGAAAATCACAGACGATCACTGAGCTGAAAACAGCTTAAGTGACATAGAATAGGTCATGAATGATTGTTTAAGAATAAAGATTCCTCTCATCTCTTTTCAGAATCGGAGAGAAGTGGGAAGTCTTCAGTATTACATAGGGTGACCAGTACAACTGACACATTTGTTTGAAACACATGTGATACTTAGTCTGAATTGAGAGATACAAATACATTATTCAGATGTGTTATTGCATAGCAGGCAAATAAGAAAAGGTTTTAGTACCTTCATTAATTCTGTGCATGAGATTTAAAAATGTTCTAATAATTCTGGATCAACCCACTTAGGCTGTAACCTGATGCTTCAGACTGTTGCTTAGGGAAGTGTGAGGCCAGTGCTGCTTTACCTTACTGATCCTTTCTGGCCTTTTTTAACAAGATGGCAATCAAGTAAGGAAAGATGCATGTGGAAAGCACATTACAAATGCATCGTCAACCTAAATTCTGTGATCCGCAGAATCTGTGTATGGAGCTATTTAGGGTCTTCTGAAAATGTATTTTTAGTAGTTTTTAAAGCATTAAAAATACCCGGCAATACTGGAGAGCAATGGTGACCCAAACTCTGTGGCTAATAATGTTGCACGTATTTATTTTGGTGAATGTTGAATGTATTCATACAGGATGTCAACTCAGCTGACCAAATCTCTTTTGAAGTCTGAAAAAGCATGTATGATGTTGTTCTGATAGGGCCCTCAGAAACAGATTTTTTCCCAATACAGCTTAGGGTTAATTTTAATTAAAACATTCCATATAATCTTGTAGATTAAGAACCAAATTTGGGTCTTGCTGAGCACAGTAGGCTTGCAAGAAAACAACTTCAGCAAAAGACCACCTATGACTCTAACTCTGAAGCAACTTACAAAACTGAATTTTCTGATTAGTCACTTGGTTCAAGCAAGGTAGTGTTAGTGCAATGCTTTTGATGTGTCTGAAGTATTGTCACATGAGATATCATTACTTCATGTTTTACCCTGCAGTACCTTTGGATATTTCTGATTGAATTAAATACTCTAGGGCTTGAAGACCTAAGATAGACACTGTTAGGGTTGTGTTGTGTCTTAGTTGTTTAAGGAGGATTTTCACCCTCTTTGGGAGGAGAGAAAACGTCAGTGAATGAAAATGAAATGTTTGGCTCTCTTTCTGTAAGAGAAAATGTTGCACACAGCTATTGATAGTCTCCACATTTCAGTTGCTCAAACTAGAAAGCATGGATGGAAAATGACTAAATATGCTTTCTTTAAATTGTCAGTGTATCTTCAACTGAGGTATTTAGTGGAGAATTTGAGTTGGAAAATGTGGCTTATTTTGTAAGTCCTGTGTTGATTTGCCTTGTGGCAAAGGGCGTGTGAGATATTATTTATCCTTCTCCCAGCACCCATGATCCTAATGTATACAGTGCAGAAGAAATGAAAATGCAAGACAGAAATGATGTTCTCTGACTAGAATTTTATAGCCCTGCTAAGACAATGAGAAAAGGGCTTTAGAAATTATGTGTAAGTTTTGTGCTTTTGAAAGACGACTTTTCCGTCATCCTGGCAAACAAGTTACACTTTTATGAAGGCATTGCCAACCTTTCCCAAACACCCAATGCCTTGGTGAGCCCAGGAGGTACCTTCTTTCCAGAAGCTGCCTAGACAATTTGGTTGTCTGATTCCTGTTGCTTGGAAAGGCAGAGTCTGTCCCTTCATTATCTTCACTATTGTCTCTTTCAGACAAGAAGATTAACATTTACCATGCTGAGATTCGGGCAGCACCTCATCAAGCCCTCTGTGGTCTTCCTGAAGACTGAGCTGTCCTTTGCCCTGGTGAACCGGAGGCCGGTGGTCCCAGGACGTATCCTTTTGAGCAGTGCCTCGAGGGGGGGGTACCTGTGCCCTCTAGGAGGAGCAGGAGGAACTCGGCGTGCTTCGGAGGCCAGGTAGGATGCTGCACAGGGTTATCTGGAAAACAGGCACTGGAAGGTAACACGCTTGAGTGGTGTTGCAGAACTGCTGAAAATGGTTGCTTGGCAACTGTGACCTTAGAGGTGAATTTCTATTGACCTTTTCACCACGGAAGATGTATAAACAACCAGGTGCCACTAAAGGCATTTTGAAGTGCATCCGAGGTGATACTGTTTAAATTTCATATTACGCTAAATAACACATCCCACTTCCCTTTTAATAATGTCACTTATTTTTAGATGTGGTAACTTCTTTAGGGAGCATTTACAATTTCTAGTTAAATATACGCAGTTTGTCAAACAGCAGCAGAATCCTGTATGAAGACTTAACTTTTTTTGGGACAGATTGCTTTGATTAATTTAGGTAGAAATGGATTAAATAAACCATCTGTATAGCACACAAATTTCCTGAGATAAAAATGAAGTTCCATGTTGTAAGTAAAGTTCTCAGCTTAGAAAGTGTATAGGAACTTGATTCTGCAAGATGTGTACCTCTTGAGTGTATCTTGTAGTGTGGCTTATTACGTTCTAGTCAAAACTGTTGCTGTGTAACTTGTGGAGGTTTCAGTGGCTGGAGGTGGAATTTTTCAGAAATACTCGATGTTCACTTCATTTCCATAGAGGTCCATGGTAAAATGTCAGTAAGAACTCAGGCAATGTCTGAATGTTTTTGGGGAAAAGAAGAAAGTCATCTGGAGCTTATTGAAATCTTTATCTCTGTAGTTTTGTTTCTCTCATAATTTAATGTAGGTTTTAAAATTTGGTGACCTTTAAATAAACCATAAATGTGTTTCTTGTGAAATATGGAATCTTCCTTTCCTCCTGTCGCTTCTGCACTTTATAATCACTCAGTATAGAACATCTTTGTACCCCTGCTTTGAATGGTGTCTGTACTACATGTCAGATCATTTGATTATTAAATGCATAACAAAGGTGCATAGACTTCATAGAAACTTTAAAGATGTTACTGTCTCACCAGTATATTTCAATGAATTGAATGAGCAGTTTGTAACTTCAGTTTCTGAAGAATCTGATGTGAATCAATGTGATTTACAGATTTGTTATCAAAAAACTCACCACAACCCACTTTCAAAGCTGTCTAGACAGTATCACATCAGTGACTGTGAGATGCAGAGCTTGGAACTGCCTGAGCAGTATGTAGGCTTATGCATTGTCCAGATCAGAGAGTAAATAAAATGTTATCTATGCTTTGTGGGGAAGTTTTAAAACCAGTGATTTTTATTTTTATTTTCTTGAATTAATAGTGAACAATTGCATCTTTTGTCAAAAATAATGAACAGTTGCTTTGGATGAAAGCTACTTGTTCTAAAGTTTTGTGAGCGCTTAGTAATGACAATTTAAGGAGCCTATAAAACTTAATTATTACAGGCTTCTTTCCTTCTTAAATAATTAAAGATTATAATCTCTAGTTGTACAGTTATTGCAGACTGTTTGGCAGATACATTTATTTGCTCAGGTTTAGCTTTGTTATCCCATAATGAGTATTGCAGCATATTTTATAGTGTCACAGTGTTTTAATAGCTCATGTGTTGTAATATATTAATGTAGTCTTTGTTTCTCCATTGAATAAATGTCCAGGTAATAAAAACCCTTCCCTTTCTCATTACAAGAAGAAAAAATTAGCAAAGATCTTGATGCAAAGGCTAGAATATGGTATTTAAAATAGAGCAATTTGTAGTTGTAAGGCTTTAAAACGTCTGTATAATGCAGCATTCATCTAAAGACCTGGCATTAACAAGTGTATTTTCTTTCTTTTATTGCAATAATTTTATCTGCTTTGTCTTTGGCACACTTGTGACATTCCTTTTCATTTTGACTTTTCTTTTTTCCTTTAGTAGAAATAAAATATTAATGTGTGTGAATTAGAGAGACAAGGAAATCGGTTTGAAAGCCAGCTCACTCCAGGTGGTGGCTTTAATTAACTAGTAAGGCTGAAATTCCATCTTGAAACAGAACGTAGGATTGAGGTTGTGAATTTGCTGTAGCAGTTTTAAAATAAAGTTATACTCTTGGAAAACAATCAGTCAAAATGGTCCTGTAGAGTTCAGTGTTTCTGATTTGAGCAATGTCAAACCATGATGATTCAGGTAACACATTACAAAGCTTTGTTTATTTCCAGCTGCCAATCTTCTGAATTCAGCTTGATGCTTCAAAGTCAAACTGTGCTGAGAGTAACCAAGAGTAGGAATAGCAAGGACATGGTATTCATGGTAAGGAAACAATTCCCCTGTTCCTGGAGAGAGCTGCCTCGTTTGCCCCAGCATTAGACTTCTGTCTATGCATTACACACTAGTTCATGGACTCAGGAACCTGTTCATAATAGGATCCCTTTGAGGGATTACTACAGATTCTTGAATAGGAAGTAACTGCGATTTTACTACTGAGTAAGGGATATCTGACATTATGCTGGAATCTCTACTGTGTGAGCTAAAATACGCTCATGTGTTTGGCAGCAGTAGTAAACTCATTCACCTCTTTTGGCACAACCAAATGGAGAGGGAGGCCTATACACTTATACAGGTACCAGTAATGTTTTCAATGAAAAGTAGAGGCCCTATTGCCTCTAGGTTGTGTTGTCTTGCTGCTCCACAAAGTACTTGGGAACATTTGTGGCTCCCTTGAACAGCTCTGTAGTTGTTTTAGAGGAAGTGGCTGTTCAACTGCCGGAATAGTGCGGAATAGTGGAGGGATGTGTCTACAGTCGGCAAATACATTGTTTCTGTCACACAGAAGGCACAAAATGAACTGAATCAGCTCTAGCAAACAGCATGAGCTAAGTTTCTAGTAAAAGAACTTAAAACTATTTCATTAGGATCCTTTCACTTCCATAGTTCAGAACAGAACTTCAGTGTGTTCTTAAAGAAAACCCGTCTGCTCTTTGGCATGGACTTTTAGCTTTTTAATATGAGAACAAGTACTTTGTGAATGACCTACCATTTTATTCATGTTTTCCTAGCCATATGCCATAGCTTTGCATGATTTTGTGCATATCTTCAATAAGTATGAGCTGGTTTATTATCACTTCCTTTCTCATTGCGTTGTGTGGGGTACTTCTTTCATCTTGTGTTAAACATGAAAAATGAATTTGAACATTAGGAGAATCTATGTGGGGACTAGGACTTTTTATTATAGATAAAATTATTCATTTGTTATGCCCTGTTTTTCTTCAGTAGACTAAGTATTGATCTTTGGATTTGTGTTCAGAATGCCGTAAGAAGAACTAGCACTGAAGGAGCACAGCAACATTTGTAAATTGATTGAATGCACTACGTAATGACAAACATCAGATCTATGGCACTACTATATTATATAAAGCATTTTTCATCAGTTTATTGAATTGGCTATTAAAAAACCCCAGCTTTTCCAGCTGGGAAGAATGAGCTGCGTGTTATCAGGACCAAGCAATTGTATAGAAATTTCTGGTGAACACTTTGGTTCCTTCAGTATGTATACATGTATGTGCGTATACTGCATTAGAATAAACACTTTACAATAGCTTTTCGTCTGGGATTGATTACCAAAAGGTTTTTCCACTTAAAGGGGGAAACAAAAAAGACAACATTTAACTGTTATATACTGAAATTTGCTGGATCATTTGGTATTGCTATTTCCATAGAATCTAGTGTTTCCCTCCAGAAAGTATTCTGATTGAGGAGATTAGACCATATATAAAACCCCAAAGCATCTAATATTGTCTGGCACCTTCATCACTGTAAGAAGTTAATAGTCATTATTTGTGGCCGAGACAGTGTGCTCTGAGTTACTGCAACTTGTTGCTTCTATTAATGAGTAGAGAAAAACATTAGTTGAACCATATGCTCCTTCAAGGAATTGATAACAGCCTGCACTACAGTGTCTTGTGCTGGGGTGGGATCCAGGGTCAGAAGTGTAAGAACAGCATCTGCTTTGCTGTATGGCTTCTCCATCATATGCTGTCAGAATTGCTGTATCACTTGAGACTGACACCATCGGTATTGTCACAAACATTGCCACAATGCTTTTCTTAAAAGATTTGCAGTTAGAAGGAAATAATCCTTTTGATTAGCTTTATTTGTTAATATATTTTAAAAGGATTTTTGTAATTTAGTAGAGTCCTGACAGAATTGCCATTGAATATGCTCTGGAAATAACAGTAGTATTCTCCCACAAGTTTGGTTGAAAACCATGGTGTTTAGCATCTATATGAGATTTTAATTCTTCATAAAGTTACAGCTGCTGTTTATTATGATTTAGTTAGTTTGTACACTGCACATTTATCACATCTGTATTTATGCTACATAATTATAAATGTTATGGTTTTTAGCCTATACAAGTGTTAATATTTGCCCTAAAACTAAGATTTAGAAAATAAAATTTGGTTATTGCAGAACATATAAATTTGCATTTACATTTGCATATTGCAATAATGTATGCTGCACTGTTACAACCACACATTATACATATTGAACCCTGTGGGAAAGTATTCTTTAGTGCCTGTTACAGAAGCTTCGTATGCATTGCTGTTATCATTAGTTTGCTGTAGCACAACACTAAGGAGCAGTCATGCTCCTTTGAGTTCTTGATCAAAGAACTAAAAATAAGGGGTTTGGTAAATATTTTGCAACCTAAATATGTTGCTGGAGATAGCAAGGGAATGATGTGGAGACAGAAAACATGGTTTGATACAATAAGGGGTGAACTACTTATGTGAATTTCTCAAAATGTCCAGTAAATCTAATTGAAGAGAGTAGTAGGAAGATGATGAAGTACCTTTGCTGGTGTAGAAAAGACCTCCTGAATGGGAGGACAGGTATAAGTGATGGATCTTGTGTGGAAATGTGGAAGAAGTGTAGAATATATTTCTTCATCATGAGTGCAGAAGAGATTGAGA